ATAAACTTCTGATTTAATGACAGGTGCATGACTGGTACCCTTCTGACTACAGTTTTGGTGAATTGACAAAGTAGGTTTGAGATTGGAGCTGAGAAGGAAGTGGAAGAAAGGGAGGCATAATATAAACAACCATTAACAAGTTTAGCCCTAAAGAAAAAAAAAAGCATAGAGAGAAGGAAGGGCTGTGATATTGAAGGGGAATTTTGTTAAAAGCAAGTACGTTTAATGTTAATAAAAAGGAATAGGTAGAGGATAAGAATGATCTGAATAGTTGGAGAGGATATGACACAGAGAACAGGAGCAGGATTAGCTTAGTTAGAAGGGCCATCATATCTATGCTAAGAAGAAGGGAAATGCAAGGAAACATGCAGGTACACATACGTTTGGAAATTTGGCCACAGTATGTGCAGACAGCTGCTCCCTGGTAGCTTCAATTTTCTTTGTGAAAGAAAAGGCAAGGTCATCTGGTAAGACTGAAAGGCTGGCTTAATTTTTATTCCCAAAATGAAATCCAGTGTCTTGGACATCTATATTTAATAAATAAATGTACATAATAAATAAAATAAAAGCAAACAATTTCCTTAATTCAGTTGTTCATTAGCCTCTATACTCAACTTTTTTTCCAAAGTAGCCACTAGGGGGCATTACTGCTGCCAATCTTTTCCCCTAAATCTTTTAATACCCTGAAATAGAAAAATTACAGAGCAGTGTATGCCCTAATATATATTTTTACAGTGCAAAATTTTTATAATTAGAATTAACCTGCTGGACTCAGTTTATTTTTTTTAATTTTTATTTATTTTTTTAGAGAGAGAAGGGAGGGAAAAAGAGAAGGAGAGAAACATTGATGTGTGAGGATGTGTGAGAGAAGGATTTATCAGTTGCCTTTCACACACTCCCAACTGGGGACCTGGTCCGCGACCCAGGCAAGTGCTCTGATTGGGAATCGATCTGGCGACTTTTCAGTTCGCAGGCTGGCACTCAATCCACTCAGCCACACTAGCCAAGGCTGGGCTCAGTTTAGATGATCCCAATTTTGTTGGCAACATCCAAAGTATCATACTCGGGAGCCAGTCGAACATATGCCACCTTCTCTCCATCAGACCTGATCAGAGTGTTGACCTTGGCCACTTCACTGTCACAGGGCTTCTTCACAGCCTGTTTGATCTGGTGCTTGTGGGCCTTAACATCCACAAAGAATACGAGTGTCTTGTTGTCTCCTGTCTTCTTCATGGTGGACTCAATAGTTGGAACATGATGATGGCATAGCAGTCAAGCTTGTTTCTCCTGAGGGTGCTCTTCAGAGGATATTTAGGCTGCCTTCTCAGCTGCAGTGTTGTGGGCGTTGGGAGGTGGGTGACGTAGGATCTTTTTTGTGGCTGAGGATGTTTTTCAGCACTGCTTTCTTTACCTTTAAAACCTCTGCTTTGCCCTCAGCTTTGGGAGAGGCAGGGGCCTCCTTCTTCTCTTTCCACGCCATCTTGTGAAAAGGCCATAATATATGTTTTTCCTCAAGAAAACCTGGTGTCAGCTTTATATACATGTATATATGTGTGTGCACATGAGCGCGCGCGCGCACACACACACACACACACACACACAGTGCAGCAGGATGGGAGAGCTGCTCTTTCTACCAGCCTCCCACTACAATCAAATTATGATGCCCCAGAGGCAGTAACTCATCATTTTGTGGAGGTCACTTTTTGTAATTCCTCCAGGGCACACAGAAAATACTGAATGAATCTTTTACACTTTCTTATGATTAATAAATGACAAAAGACAGATGAAAAAAAACCCCTAAAGCTAATCCTTTGTAACATTTGTCCTAGTGTCTTTAAAATTGTTTCTCCCCCCTACACCTCCTCCTCCTCCCCCAATTAAGTAAGAAGTAGGTTCGTTAGATTAATTTTAAATAGTTGTGATCTATTTGTTTAAACTCCTCACTTGAGGGTATGTTTATTGATTTGAGAGAGAGAGAGAAACACTGATGTGAGAGAAACGTCAATCGATTGCCTTCTGTACACACCCTGGCCGGGGATTGAACCCACAACCTAGGTAAGTGCCCTGATTGGGGATGAAACCCACAACCTTTTGGCATGTGGGACAATGCTCCAACCAACTGGAACACCCAGCAAGGGCCATTGTAATCTATTTTATAAACTGCTTTTTTCCATCTCAAATGCTTGATATTTTTTTTTCTTGTTCCCCTTATCTTTTATTAAAAAATTTTATTTTATTTTATAAGCTTACTGTGATGACACTGGTTAAAAGGATCATATAGGTTTCAAATGTACATTTCTATGATACATAATCTGTACAGCGCATTTGTGCCCAACACCCAAAGTTAGATCATCTTCTAACCACCTATTTGGCCCTGTTTACCCTTTACTACCCTTGATACATTTTTATAATGGAGGTTTATCAATCTATAATACAACATAGCTATTATATTAATATATACCAGAATAAGCAGCTATTTTGGTGTGTGCGTGTTTATCAATGGGGCTGGAAAATACTTCTCTCCTAGCCTGGTTCTATTGAAACTGGGCCTCGAATGAACAGTGGAAACTGGCAGAATTCTAACTTAAAACAGGGTGCAGAAATTTTCAATAGCCAAAAAGAAAAGATGTAAAAGCAGAGAGTTCCTTAAGAGTTTAGGGTTACACAAATCAGCTCAGTTTCAACTAAGGGAAATGAACTTCAACAGTAGGGGAGACTTCCAGTCATACCAACAGAACACATCACACTCTAGGCTAAGAAAAGCTGTTAGTGTGGTCAGATGCCTTATGGCCTGGAGCTGTGGGGAAGATGGGAAGGAGGCTGAGGTCATGGTATGGCTGTAGGGTGTCAGCAATGTACAGGCACATCTTGGAGATAATACAGGTTTGGTTCCAGACCACCACAATAAAGTGAGTCGCAATAAAGGGAGATGTAATGTTTTCGCTGGTAAAGGATCTTGCCTTCCATTTGTAAAAAACACAGCACCTGTATAGTGCAATAGAGCGAAGTGCAATAATAAAAGGTATGCTTGTACTTTCAATGGATGAAAAGGGTGCTTAACACCAAAGCCTCCAAACTTGGTTATTTGAACGAAAGTTTTGTGGGGAACAACCATACTCAATAAGTGGGTCACAAGGAGAGTCTGGGTGATAGAGTTGAAGGAGCCATCAGTCAAATGTAGATACAGTATCAAATTGTTTGCAAACTGTTTCAAAAACAAAGTTTCAAGGTTCTTTAGGTTAGTGTTCTAATTTGACAATTACAAGTCACATTTTTAATGGATACTCTATTCCACTAGCTGGTATGGTATTCCACTTTTATTGACAGTTTTCCGGAGCTCTTTGGGGCCAAAGATTTTTTTAATATTCATAAGAATATTAATAGCAAATTACTTTTCCTTAACCTAACAGAAAAGTTAACCTTTCCTAGTGAACTGATCCCACCTGGAAGAGCAGAAAAGTTTCCTTCTCAGTAATCATAATTCTTTGGCTACAAGGACATCCCTGAAAATGAGTTTTAAAACTGACATCATTGCTACATCCCTACTGCATTTTCAATCTATGTTCTCTTTCAAAAGTCCTGTGCTAAATCCTTAGTTGTTTCCCCCCAGCATAAGATCCAAATAAGAGCCTGATTTCATTTACATACACACACATTTGCACTCCCCAACAACAACACTTCCTTTAAAAAACGGAATGTCACTTCCTCAATCCAGAGGCCAGAAGTCCCTTGGTTCTGGTCTAGGGAGCCAAGACAGGAAACTCTGGTAAGCTTCTGCCTCTCCCCCCAAGGCCAGCGCTGGTGCAGCTGACAGAGGGCAGGGTCTATTCAGGGCTCCCTTGATGCACTGCAGCTGGAAGGCAACAGCTCCCTTCCAGCTTCGGGAATGATCCCAGAGTCCCGCACCAGGAGTCAGTTTAACAAGGGCATTTCATAGGAAGGGAAGAGGGAAAGGATGAAAGACCTTGACACCTTAGAGCGACCTTACTTCTATTTCCAAACTCCTGCGAATAGCCCAGGGCCCATTTCAGCCAACTATCAGTAATTGGCATCAGTTTGTACTTTGACCCCACCAGGCAAGGCATCTTCTAGTTTGGGGATGGGGAACAGACGGACCTTCTCACCCCCTCAATCCCAGACCGGACCATTTTCCCCTTGCTGTTGCCCGTTTCTTCTCTAGAAGGGAGAGGTTGTCCCAGCAGTTTGAGTAAACACTGTCGGTTAGCACCACCTGGCAGCTGAGAACCTTGATCTCCCCCGACCCCAAGACTGCACAACACAAAACCCGGGCCAGTTACAGCAAACCAAACTGCAGTGTCACCATGGAGGGCTGGGGTTGGGGGATGTATGTGAGAGACATACAGAATAAAGGCAAAGAAGGGGGACAAACAAATGAGTCACTAAATACAAGGGCTGCACATGCCGCTGACGCTGCCCATGATGCAGAGGCTGCGGACTGAAAGGAAGCAGGCGGCCACCCGGAGGGGCGGGCGGAGAAAGGGAAGGGGGAAAGGGTGTGTGGCGCCTCGCCCTTTGTGGGGCCGGGCTGCGCGGCCCCGGAGCCCATGCCCCCCTTTCCCGCCCACTCCCTCAATCCTGTAGGCGGAAGCCGCTCAGGGTAACTATGGTCCCCCAGCCCCGGGAACCAACTCTGTCGCTCTCCAAAAACAATCAATACAAACTTCAATACTGTATGTAGTTTACAAGGAGGCTGGCTGCCGAGGCGCCGCCGCCGCGCCCGCTCCGCGGAGAACGAACCGCAGCCTCCACCTGCCGCCCCGCCCGCCCCGCCCCTCGGCGGCGCACCTGTGACAGGTGTGCAGGTGCCCTACACAGAGCCGAACCGCGGGGCGCGCCAGCCGCTCCTGACCCTCAAGAGGCCGGCGGCCGGCCCTCCACGTCCGCACGGCCCCTCCCGGAGCCCCCAGCCCGTAGTCAGGCCGCGGTGCGCCCCTAGCCCGCGCCCTCCGCGGCCGCGCCCGCTGACCGCCCGCACTCACATAGCGCCTCAACTTCTTCTCGGGGGGCGATTTTCTCAGCCAGCCGGTGCACACAACGTCGCCGCCGCCGCTCATGCTGTCGGCCGCCTGGAGCCCGCCGCGGGGTTGGACGGACAAGGGCGCGGGCGAGAGCCGCTGGGTCAGCCGGTCGGCGGTGCGCAGCTCGCGAGGGAGGGGAGGGGAGGGGCCGGGGCGGCCGGCGGCCACGGGGCGAGGACGAGCGCCCCACGGACCCAGCTGCAGCTCCCGCGCGCCCGCTCTCCCAGCGCGCGCGCGCGCGCACTCGCTTCCCGGCCGCGGTGGGGGCGCCACAGCAGGAAGACTGGAGCGCGATCGCCACGCCCATAGCCCGCCGCGCCCCCCGGCCGGCGGCGTTCAGAGACGCAAACACCCCCTGGCGTCTTTGGACCGGAGAGGCCCGAGGTTCGCCAGGACGCCAAAGCCTGCGGCCGGCCGCGCCCTACCCCCCCGCCCCGTTTTGCTTTATTCCCGTAGCCTCCAGCAGTCCGCGGGGCTGGCGGCCGCGCCTCTGGTGGGATTGGGGGTGGGGTGAAGGAAAGGGGCTGCGCGCCCTTGGTCGCGAATCGATTTTTCACAGAGGGTCGTCAGGAAGGGACCCGAGGGCTGCTCGAGTTTCCTATCCATTCCCAGAGTTTCAGGTTTCAGTGGGTCAGGTTCTGGCTGAAATGAGTGATCCGCTTCCCAGTGAGAGTTTAACTCTCGCACCCCCTGGGGGGGGGGTGGGGAGGGAGAAGAAAGTAAGAAAACAGACTACTGTGTGCTGGGCGCTTTTGCATTCCTTGTTTACATGATTGTCTTGAGTCCACAAATCGGGCGGGCAGTATTAGTCTCATTTTACAAATAACTTAAAGTCCCAAAGCCTGTGAGATGCACAGCCAAGTTTCCAATTTTGGGGGTGGCGGTGGAGGTGGTCCTGCTGCTCATCTCCTTGTAAAGTGGGGAAATTGCTCTAATGTGTGTCGACCAACCTGGGGGCCTGTTATTACCAGGAATTAAAGTCCAGCTGGCTCCTTCACTGCCTCTGGGAAATACAATTCAGTAAAAGAAAATTCATATGATTTTCAGAATCAAGGAAGCTAAAATAAGTTCATGTATTTCGTAGTAAATCGGAAGGCAAGGTGGTGTAGAATAAGAAATGGGGACCAAAATTCCCCAGCGTTCCAAATCATCCACACAGATTATGAGACCTCTCTGGCGTTCATTTGAAAGTTGCGGTATAATGGTACCTCTCAGTGTGTCTTGCTGAGGTTTATCTGAGGTGAAGTGCGTGGAAGCACACACTAGGCAACCGTACATTTCATGGGGAGGATGGACGGAAAAAAATCCCTTCGGTAGGGGTTCTTTTCCACTCGCACAGTACCTTTACTGTGCAGTATTAAAAGGCAGTTCCTCCCCTCAACTTCTCTGAGAAGTGGCAGTGTGCTGCCAGCAAGTGAGTGGGAGAGACAGCATCTTGCACTCCCCATTCAACTTGACACTAAGGCTATTTTGTAGATTTCCCCGTCTTTTTGCAGCAAAGCTAGCTGTTTCGAGCAGTTGGACATCCTTCTGGTTTTACAGATATTGGTTGGGTTGGGAAAAGTTCCCTTTCAATCGGTTTGCAAAAGCTAATCATTTACTATGGGCGTAGCTCTTCTAAACACTCAGGGAGGCTTAGATCAGCTCCTCTGGACCCCATTTCACTGACTTTCTACAGCTATTCAGGGTGCTGCTGGATTGACTGTAAAGCCAGGACTATCAGGCTATAGCTGGGTCCAGAGCTCCCCTAGCCTTCCAATTTATGGATCCTTAAGCCACATACAAAGATCACCACCAAAATTACGGCCATTCTGGCCTCTGGCTTTGGCTTTACATTAAAAAGCTGTGCGACACATATCAAAATACTTGTCTGCCAAATCAGTCAGGAGGCGGTGACTCTCCAAAATCTAAAGCAACTTCTGACTTCATTCCCATCTGAGTCATGGTGCCAGACTCTGAGAAATTTGCATGGTTTGTTTGCAGCTACCCTAACTTTCTTTTTGACGAGGCAGCCAGCACCCAGCTCAGGCAGCACAAAGAAGGCAGAACTGCTGCTGAGGTCCCTGGCTGCACCCTGGTGTGGCTCCAGTCTTCTGACCCTGAGGTGCGTGCCAAGCCTGGAAACAGCCCTCGGACAGAACGTTCCTGTCTGGGCCTTTACTAAGTCCTCTCCACTCCCTGCCTTTTTTTTTTTTTTTTTTTTAATGCTCCCTGCCTTTGGCTGGCGAGAAATGGAAAACAATAGTGATTTATTTACATAAAGCTAAGCGCCACCTATCGGAATCAGTTGGGATAACGCCCCCCACCTCCAACCTGTGGGGACATGCACCACTGGTCTATAATTTAGGCAATTTTGATTTTAAAGACCACAGTATTTCCTAGAGGAATTAATGACTTGGCTGCAAGGAGGGCTTTGGGTCATTAATTCTATACTCATTAAATCCTCAGGAAATAACCATCTTATAGGGAGGGTTTCTTTGGAGGGAACATTGCAGAAACTAGAGAAATGAACACCTGGGAGGGAAGCACTGGCGCCACAATTTGCTTCCCCTCCCCCAAAGCCTGGGTTCTAAACGGTGCACTGTGGCTTTGAGTTTCACCAGCAACAGCCTGCATCCGTGCCGGTCTGGGAGTTGAGGGCTGTGGTCAGTGGCAGGTGCATGGCTGGTGGAACGCTCCCAGGAATGGGTTGGAAGGGCTGGAAGGAGAACTGTTCTCAACTGCACATCAGGCTGGTGTGATTAATGCCACCCACGCCAGGCTTGATGTCAGTGATTAGACTGGGGGTGGGGATGGATGTTTGTGTCCTAGCCCTTCTGCCTTTTCTCCCCTTCAATTTAGTTGACAGGTTAATTTCAGAGCTGAGTGCTGCTTGCCAAGGTCAGTGTGGCCGGCAGAACTACCTCGGCTTGGTGACTTTCAGGACACTTGTCTCTCCGGCGTACTGAGGCTTGCACTTCTTTAACCCCTGGGTGCTTTGAGCCCACTTGGTTCCCTCCATCAAATTACTCTGACCTACTCAAATCAACTTTTGGCATCTGGTTGGGACAGAGATCTGGAAGTGGGCTCAGGGTGTGGCTGAAGACCTAATTGGGTTCCCTCCCTGTCTGTGGCTGCTAACAGTCTGCTACTTCACATTACATCCAGTGGGAGACATTTTGGAAGTAAACTTTAGAAAACGTTGAGCCAGTCCAGCTTCCCAATTTCCCTTTGCAAAGAATCAGAACCTGTGCCAATTGCTTTGGGGCAGTTAAACTCCTGGGACACTTCTACTGACACTAGTTGTGGTGATAACATCAGTGTTCGCAGATCAGGCTGCAAAATCAGGTATATTCTCCCAAGAACAAAGACTGTTAAGGTTCCTGGGAAAGTGCCTTAGTGCTCCAAACCATACTTTGCATGGTGGCCCCTTCCTTCACAGACAGATATCCTGCCTTGAATTAGATCTTGAAAATATGTCAAGACCCCATTCTCTAAAACTCACCATTCCCACTCCCCAGCATCGTTGTTCATTCTTTTCTTAGATTCATATTGCACCCTTATAAACTCAGTTGTCACACTGTACTGCAAATATTTGTTTCCCTAGAGCCTCCCAGCACGGTGCCAGGCACACAGACATGCTCATTAAAAATGTCTGTTGGGAGAGTGATGGAACCAATCCTTGAAGAATAATGAGAGCTGTGGACCCCCGGAACATCATCCCCAAGAATATTATCTGTGAAGGTCCTTATAAGCAGTTAAGAGTGTTTAAACCAACAGGGACTGGCCTGGTGTGAAGGGCAGAGCTGGTGGAGGTAATCCTATAGTTTCACTTTAAAAAGTGGTTGAAATCCTTAGTTTAAAAAACAATGACTCCTTAGACCTTTGATTTCTACTCCCAGGCTCTAGAGAGCTAACTTTGTTGATCCTTGGTTTCCAAACCCTGACACTGTTGTAGAGAATCCCCAGATACCCTCTTCTCTGGGACTAAGATTTAAATCATTTATGGTTTATCTGATAACTGGTTTCCCTGTGACAGTCTTAGAGGAGCTCTAACACGTAACCCCTTGTATTCCTCCACAATGCTAGCAAAGCTGAATTAATCAAGTGCCCTGGCTCAAAAGGGGTTTCGTCCAACAGCTGACTAGAAATACCATTTTCTTCTGCACTGAGTGCATGCATAGTGGCTGTGCACATTTACTAGTCTTTGTTTTGCTGGGGATTCAAGGACCACAGGAGATCATCTCATCTAACTCTATCAGAATTACCCAAGATGTTTATCTCATACAGCCATTAACGTGCTTGTTAATGCTTAAAAACCAGCTCTCTGGTGGTAGCTTTGATTTGTAGTATGTGCAGTTTTTCTAGTGGAAGTACTACACTCTCTCTGCCCTTCCCTTGATCAAATTTAAGCTATCAACTTCATGTCTTTGAATATGGAGTTAAGAGATACGAAGTTATTTAGTATTTCTAACATGGAATAGATGCAAATAACATCAAGAGCAGAGATAACAGCAAAATGTACCAAAATAATTAGTAACTGATGAGTTTGGTTTATTCCCTTTACTTTGAAAGTCAGCGTTTTAAAGTGTACAATTCAGTAGTTTTGAGCATATTCACCAAATTGTGCAACCATCATGGCTAATTTCAAAACATTTTCATTACCCCAGAAGAAACTCCACAGCTATTAACAATCACTCTTCGTTCCCCCAACCCTAATCCCTGGCAACCGTTAATCTGCTTCCTGTCCCTATGGATTTGCCAATTCCGAACATTTCATATAATTTATCAGAATCACAGAATATATGGTCTCTTGTGTTTGCCTTCTTTCACTTTGTATCATGTTTTCAAGGTTCATCCATGTTGTAGCATGTCAGTTTTTCATTCCACTCATTGCATGGGTTAAATTATTCATTCGTCACCTGATGGACATTTCAGTTGTTTCCCACTTTGTGGCCATGATGAATAATGGTGATGTAAACATTCATGTACAAGTTTTTGTGTGAACCTACATTTTTAATACTCTTGGGTATATACTAGGAGTCAAATTGCTGGATCATACTGTGACTCTGTTTTTTTCTTTTCATAGAACTCTTTCCCACAATAGTTACAACACCATTTACATTCCTACCAGCAATGTATGAGGGCTCCAATCTGTCCACATCTTCTCCAATACTTGTTATTTTCCTTTTTTAAAAAAATTATAATATTAATAATGTTCTTTTGTAACAACCAGCTT